TGTCCTAGGTTTCTGCCTGTTAAAAGGCAGTTTTTCCTTGCCCCCGTCGCCAAGTGCTTGCTCATGGTGGTACTGTTGGGTCTCGGTCTTGTATTGCGGTTACTTAAATCATATGTTCGGATTGTGAGTGATTCCAGCTGTTTGCAAACTGATTCCAGCTGTTTTCTGTCATTGTTTCACTGTACATGACACAGATGGCAGCAGAGGCACAATGATGGGACTTACATGTTGTTTTAAGAGCTTTATGCAGCAGATGAAGATTATAGTTCCAGCAGTGATATAACAGTGGATCACTGATGGATGTTAATCTGCAGATAAACATGTCAACGCAACCATCAAGGTTAAAGCGGAAAGTATTTGTTTCATAACTTCAGAAACACAACAGGAGAAGCTTTTTAACCACCAAAATAACCTAATAAACCAAATAAAGAACATTTAGGTCACATATAAATTACCATCATTATGATATTGGATGTTGTTCTCGGACGAATCTGTGCCATTTCCAAGTTCATTTTTCAAGTCTTTGTCTTTTACAGAAATTCCAACTGCAGTCGTCCTCCTGAGGCCGCTGAGCATGAGCAACACAGTTGAGCACGTCAGCAGTCCAACAACATCTGTCTGTCTGTCTGTCTGTCTGTTTGTCCGTCTGTCTGTCTGTCTCTGTCTCTCTTTCTCTCCCCCACCCACCTAGAGTCAGGGTCTCCAAGGTCTTGCTCATGGTGGGAACTGTTGGGTCTCTGTAAATAATGTTATAAGGAGTTCGGTCTAGACCTAGATAATGGGGATAACAAATAAAACTGAATTATCCCCATTATCCCACAGTCACAGGTCACTGAGCTAGCATTATGCTACGAGCAAGAGAGCTAACGTGGGACAACCTCAGTGTGGTTCTGAGTCTCACCGTGTTGTACAGTTCCTCCAGACGAGGAATCGTTAGGAAATGATGGATGTTGACGCCGTTCTCGATCAGCAGCTTCACAAAGTCCACTCTGTCCAACACCAGAGCGTCCATCATGGCCTGTTCCAGAGAGTTCACCTGTCGTAACATCAGCATTATCATCATCATCATCATCCTCATTATCCTCATCATCATCATCCTCATTATCCTCATCCTCATCATCCTCATCATCATCCTATTATGGGCTAAAATCAGATTTTCACTGTGAAATGCAGCATGTAATTTACAGTGTTTGTGTCAATATTCACTGTAGATAACTGCTGAAGTTAGCTAACGGTTAGCTTTCAGCTACATAGATTCTTAGGTTAGCTAATGGTTAGCTTTCAGGTTAGCAGTTCAGGTTTATCTAAAACTGTTAAGCTAATGAGTCATTGTGTTTTACAGTTTGAGGTTAGCTAACGATTCTGTTAGAGAGATAAAACCTGTGGCTTAGTAGAAATATAAGTGATTAGATTTTAGTTATTATTGTAGACCATAATGTTTTATGTCTCTGACCCAGTTGAGCAGCTCCAGTTTCCTTGGGTCCGTCTCCTCAGGTGGTTCAGGTTTGGTTTTGCCTCCTTTTCCTTTCTTGCCCCTGGCCTTCCCTTTGCCTCCTCCTCCTCCTCCTCCTCCTCCTGCTGCTGTTGCTCGCTGTGCAACCGGACTCTTCGGTCGGTCGGTGGGTAAACTGCTCACCGGCTGCAGAAAGACACCACTGATTGGATAAAAAAGTAATACCCTGTCCTGTCTAGCTAGCTGTCTAATTGTAGTTACTGCAGTTTGCCTTTGGAGGGCAGTATATACCTGATGGTAACGTAGCCACTAGCAACCAACAGTATTTTCAGCACTTTTGATTATATTCAGTAAGTTTTAGCTGCTGTTTTTTTCACAGCTTAGCTTGTTTAGCTTAGCTAATAAGCTGTTATTAAAACTGCTCCACAACAGAAACCTGCTTTAAACTTCTGCTTATTTCACTACAGATTTCAGTTTACTCATCGATCAATAATGTGAATACTGTGAACTCACAGGCCAGTGGAGTCCGTACACAAAGATCTGACTGCGAGCGATGTCCACTCTGTTCCACGCCAGAGCTAAACTCAGCTGATCGGACGCCGATGCATTCGTACCTCGAGTAAATAAACAAGCAAACAGTCGTTATCGCAAACATAATTCCCTCTGATGTGGAGGCAGATCGGACTGATTAACGATTATATTATATATACTATATTATTATATGATATACTGAGCTACCTTTAAGCAGAGCAGTCAGGATGGACATCTCAATGTCCTGCTGTCCCTCTGAGCCCATCCTGAACACTGTTATCTGCACACAACAAACAAACAACAAACAACAGTATCATGAACACACGCTGAAGACAGTAAGCTCCCGATCAATAAAACTAATCAGTAGCACAGAAGTTGATCAGACAGATTGAGTTTGTAGCAGAGCTTCTGTCAACATATCAGTATTAATATTAATTAATATTCGTCAAAACACTGAACCACAAAACTCTGATTTTATTTTAAAAACAATATATTATAACGTTTCAATTTGTCTTGACAATCTTTTTAAAAACCAATATATAAAATGATATATTATGTAAATATCTATCAAATAATATTATTAAACTATTGTGTTCACGTTTTATTCTTCAATGTAAGACTGTATAGATCGTTTTTAATATATTAACTGTGTGAGTTCGGTCTAGACTTGCTCTATTTGAAAAGTGTCCTGAGATAACTTCTGTTATGAATTGGCGCTAATACAAATAAATTGAATTGAATTGAATTGAAAAAATGTAATTGATATAATTTACAGTTTAGTTACATTATAATAACATAATATATTGATTGTCAGTAGGTTGCAGTAATTATAGTTATGGCAGTGTGCCGGGGGGGGGGCAGTGTGCCAGTGGGTGGCAGCTATACCCCCCGACCCATCAGGACCATCAGAACCATCAGAACCATCAGAACCATCAGAACTGTTAAAACTTAAAAGAGTTTATAAAGTAGATATTTTCTGCACATTTGAACAAATATGAGTTGATTGATAATATTGACTGATTGACTGAAACATATTGATCCATTCAATCAGTGTTCATCCTGGTTACTTCAGAACATGCAGCTTTTGAATCTGACATCAAATGTGAATGAATTTAAGTGAATTGATTTGGTTTAAATGTGCCGTCGCTCTGCTGCTGCAGCTGTTCTTAGGAAGAAGCAGAGGATTGTGGGATTAAGGGTCACAGAACAATCTCCATTAAGTGGTGCAGTTTTGGGTCAAAGGTAAAACCTTCGTCATTATGTTAATGTCACAGTAAGCAGGAGTCATAGAATGAGGGCGGAGGTCAGGTCATTCTGTGTATATTCCAGCAGGTGGCAGCACCGTTGGCTGCACTATAAACTGATCCCATTTACTCTCATGGAGAATGAGCCGGCTTCCTCTATGAGCTTAGCAGAAACTGACGGAACTGTTCCAGTTTTCATCGATTCGGAACATCAAGACCAAAAATGAATAAAACTAAACATTGAACTGGTATTGTGTGTGTTTTATGTTTTTATACACTGATTTACTCTTAGACAGACAGACAGACAAACAGATATATAGTTAGATAGATAGATAATATAATATATACAGTGAAATGTTTTCTCTGCAGCTCTGGAAGGTCCTGGTCTGGATCCTGGTCCGCTTTTGTACAATTCAATTAAATTCAATTCAATTCAATTCAGTTTTATTTGTACTGCGCCAATTCATAACATAAGTTACCTCAGGACACTTCTCAAATAGAGCAGGTCTAGACTGAACTCCTTATAACAAT